AAAACTAGAAAAAATATTAAAAATCAGGAAATTAATGAAAATAAATTAAAAAATAAAATAATTGCAGTTCTTCTCACTGTGAGTCTTATTACAAAACCAGAATTGTGATATCTCCATTATTTAGTGAGATATCATAATGGATAAATCCTCGCGAGACACCCTGGTTATAATTATAAAAAAAATTAAATATCCATTTAAGTGCTAACATATTATGGGACTATTCATACTTATTGTTTTGAAAGAGAACTCCAAACAATCTAAACATCTAGTAACAACAATAATATAATATAAAAATATTTATAGACAGACACCTATTATTTAAATCAGTTAAATCATTGAATTTGTTCATTACTAAACCTAGTTTACAATAATGAAACCAGTWATTGTTAATTTGTTCTTTTAATAGATTTAATGATTCCAAATAATAATGGGTCATGTATTTTGATTTTATTCAGGAATTACAGATAATTATAATTTTTTAAATTAAGTTGCTTTTGACAAATAATATTTATTTCTGTTTCTAAAAAATATATAAGGTTTTATGATTCATTTAAAAAAGACAATATMAAACAAAATTATTTCTTCAATAAACCTCTCGTGACTACATTTGATGGCTTGTCATATTTTTCAGTACCTGGTAAGTTATAATCAATTGCTACAGACTTTGCTAGATCAGACAGGGCCTAAAAAAATAAAAATATTCAATTTGCTTATTTTAAATAGTAAGAACTATAATAAGGTAGCTAACAAAAATGGTAGTATACAAAATTAGTTATGCTTACTCTAAAAGTGTTAGGTTCCCAAATAGCTAAATCAGCTAAAACTTTCTTGTTCAATTGAATGTCACATCTTGATAAACTATCCTTAAAATTATTTATTTCAACTCCATGTTCTTCACACCCTGCTTTAATGCGAGTATTCCATAGCTAAAATATTAAATTTAAAATTAAATATTAAACAATAAAAAAATATGTTTCCTTACAAATTATTAACTAAGAAATCGTATTTTTAATTAATTTTGAATATTATAGGTACATTTTTTAACAATTAAATAAATTGGTATAAATACCTACATTTTTGGTATGCAAAAATATAATATGTTCAATATATACAGGTCATTAAACTTTCACAGAAAATAATTAAGAACTATTATTAACCTATTACAAAATGTATCAATCARCAGTTGGTTATTCGACTAATGCAAAAATTTATTTTTAAATTTGAATCATTAAATATCTATACAATAGTTTAGAATCTTCCTGGACACATTGTATAATAATATACATACTAGAGTTAATTTATTAGTTATAGCTTACTACAGATATTTTCTAAGTATGATACAATATAAGCAATAGTTAATATAGAATACAATTTTAAATATTTAGAAATTGAAATCAGTAGTAATATGAGATGGAAGAACCAAATTAATACTTTAGTCAAAAAACTTAGAAAAATGAATAATTATATTAAGAAATCTAAATGAAATTCTAGAACTACCTAAATTTTGCCAGGTTTGCTTATTATTGGTAAAATCAATGATCTCCTATGGTATAATGGTTTGGGTGGAGCATTTGATAATGCTATATCTCAATTAGAAATATACCAAAATCAAATAATTAGAATATTCYTCAATAAAGAACAAATGTACAATGTACTCAGCAACAAATTTGTTGTGGCTAGGATATGCATTTTGTTTCGTCTTTAAAAGGAATATAAGGATCTGGTTTATCTATACTCTAGAGCAGGGGTCACCAACTGGCGGACCGCGGTCCGGATACGGACCTCGAGCACTTTTTTTACGGACCGCGCGCGCGTTTTCATTTTACATTGATTAAATTCATATGCGCCATACTGGCGAGGGAAACGCGCCATCGTCGGAGTGAGAGACAAATTTAAAAAATGTATATACCTACCTATTTATTAACGTGTGTAAAAGTCATTGAAACTGTTTGGACCGCGTAAAGTTTGGTAAGTTTCAAAACGGACCCCCATAGAAATTAGTTGGTGACCCCTGCTCTAGAGTGTCTCAATTATATTACTATAATTAGTCTATAACAATAATTACTAAAAATATGGCATACATTTTTTTTACAAACAAATCTTAAATTCAAATACTTATTAACACAATTACAATTATTACTTTTATGAATCACAATCATTATTTCCTTTTTTTAATTATGAATATAATACAATATAGGCAAATACCAATCTTAAGAGATAAAAGATTTATGTAGAATTTTAAGCAGTAGTTGAATCAGTTTGTTTATTAATTTATGATACAAATGTTACTATAATTAATTTAGTAATTAATTAAGCAATATTGAATCAGCAATTGAAAAAAATACCCTACAATAGGTATAATGTATTTGTTTTGTAACTTACATCAATCATATCACTTTTTCGCACAGTCCGTCCAATTGTAGCAAATTGAAGAGCACGGTGAACCGCCTTAATGGCAATGGAATAACAATTTCTTCGGCGACCCGAAAAGTGCTAAAAACATAATACATGTGAAACACAATAATATTACTTAATACTTACAAGGGAGGACTTGTACATATACATATATATGTATATGTATTATACCCTTATCATATAATACATTTTATTTGAATCAACTGAGAATTATATGAGTTATTTATATATCCATATAAACATTATAAATAATGCCCATAGACATAAATATTAAGAATTAAGATATTTTAAAATGTTATTTACAGCAGCAATTTTGAAAATTTTCCTTTTTCTCCAAAACTCATCTGGGCCTCTACTTCTCACCATCATCATTGCCGTAGTAAAAACCATTGTAAATTACAAAAATATCCAAGAGTACCTATTTGAATAATAATATAAGATTTAACAAACACCTTTTTAAAATACTAAATTTAAGTATTTGGATTTTAACTTTTTACTTTTTACTTTTTAGGATTATAATTTATAAATTATAATCTATAACCTTATCGTCTTTACACTGGCGATAAGCCGGCGGATTTATAGAATGCAAATTTGACTGATAAGAGATTTTGAATTTTGATTTTTAATGAAAATAAAGTCACCCATACGGCCATACCTAATAAAAATATCATTTTTTCATTTTTTACGACGGTCTTTAATGATWTTATTAGAATATCGTGCCTTAAACATAAATATTAAAGATTTTTTAATATCTATAGTCTTAAATGGCAGCTTATTAAAATGTGGGACTGTGGGAGCGCGTTTCTGTGATAGTAGTATCTACAGTCGTGGTTAACCTCAAAGACTCAAAATTTAAAGCATAGACTGCTGCATAGTAGTTACTAGTTTTGTACTTATGTATTATGTAGTAAAAACTAATAGCCTTAACTACCTATATTAAATTATTAAGTATTTGATCAGCAACTTGTTTCGTAATTTCGTATTTAGTATTTTCGATTTCAGCAAGGAAACAATTTAAGAATTCATTTTAGTATAAAATTAAAGTTGGGAATTACGGGTCAAATGAACGATTCGGTTCGTTTGGATAGGGTCATTGAAAAGACCCGTTCATATGATTCGTTCATTTCGTTCGTTGAACGATGCCCCGGAGTGGGGGATGGTGGCACTTGTTCTCCGGACACCGTGACTTGCCCGGAGAAAAATGCCGCCCGATGGTCGAGGATCGAACCCGGTCCGGCTGAGCCACAGCCGACGCGG